CATCTGTTTGTATGGGTTAATACTTTTACTAATTGGGTAGGGGCCTTCCCCTACAAGACAAAAAAGGCACACAAAGTAATAAAAATTCTGCTTTATAAAATAATACTCGGGTTCGGCTTAGCTAAAAATTACATATTAATAATGGTAAATGGCTGCCTTGACTCTTTCTCTAGCAGAACTTCTGGCTCCTGAAAAAGTTTTACACATCAAAATAAAGCTTATTACTCAGCAAAACTCTAAATAACACCTCACAAGCATTAGATGCTTAAAAAGTTTTTTTTTTTTTTAAATTAAGTTAGGGCCAAACTCTTGAAAATAGAGCCACCACTGATTACTTCCTGCTCCTGGTTCTCCATTCGCTGGGTAATGAGAGTCCCTGACATATGTGGTTTACACAGTCAGGGTCTCTCCTAGATTATTTCATGGGTTTGGAAACTGTAGACATGATCTTAAGATGTCATCTTGTTGGTAAGTATAATCTTTACTTTGTGTTTTTCTCTTTGTGTCTGCTAATGTTTATGCCGCCTCAGCCTGCCAGCCTTCCTGGGAAACCACACTGTGGGCCACTCAACTAACCCTTGGGTAGAGTCTAGCTGCTGGAGCCCTACACCGTCCCTTATCAGCTTGAAGAAGCCGGACCGGTCACCATCCCTGCTCCCTAACAGAAGTTACAGGCCCTGTTCCAGGGGAGAAATAAATAAGGAAAGGGTAACATTAGGCAGGGAGAGATAAGGGACCTTCAGGAAGGCAGACTGCAGCTGCAAGTGGGAGGCTAAAGAAGCAGATGGGGGTCTCCCTTTATAAAATCCTTTATGGGTGCCCTCCCCCCATTATCAAGGGCATAAGGGGGGGAATCTAAATGAGATAGGCAATCTAACCCTAAAACAACAGATGTGGGCCCTTGGTTTTACCTTAACCACCTTTCACCACTGGGTCGGAGAACGATTACCTGTTAATCTGACCACAGACGCTCACCCCTTTAAACCAGGAGATGCAATATAGATAAAGGAATGAAATATCCAAGCCCTAAAATCCCTTTGGAGGCGCCTGTTCACTGTCATTTTGTCCACCCCTACTGCAGTAAAGGTAGCCGAAGTGGGTCCCCGGATTGACCACAGCAGAGTGAAGCCGGCATCTCCAAACTGGGAGTGCATCCCTGACCCATCAACGCCGTGCATGCTGACCCCATGGAAGGAACACTCTGCAACCCCAGAGGCTCCGGGAAATGGCAGCCCTGCTTTAGTCACTCAGAGGCTGACTAATCTGCGCATGGCAGAAGCTTGAGGAATCGACAGTCCTGTGAAACAATGTTTCCTTACTTGTGATGCACTGCCATGCCTTGTTTCTCACTATTACTGTGATTCTTGCTCTGCTCTTTGCCATAGGCTTGGCTGAGACACCCTGGCCGGCTGGAAATGTGGTGACAGGTTTCTGTGAACACTCACCTTCCCTTTGTGGAGAGGATGCTTCGTTGGTACCAACATAGGAAAACAATGGCCATTAGAGACTAAACACAATTAGATCCCCACAATTAAAACAAAATACCCCAGTCCTACTGTTGGGGTTTGGCTTCTCAAAAGCTCCGTTTTTGGGAAAACTGTCTTGCCTCATGGGGAAAAAGTTCATCACTATCCCTGTTGGAAACTTAACATACCAACTGCCCAGGAAACCCAATGGTGGGGGGACCCCAGGTCACCTCGAGCCAGATCCCCAGCCTTGTCTCACTTCTCTCGTCTACGAGAGGCCTGAGACAATGTCAACACGGCCATCAAATGGCAGGTCCCGGGTGGACCACACTAGAGATGTGGAATGACAGCCTATGTTATACTTCCCTTAGTCTGGTCAGGGTCATATGTGCTGAAAACTATCCGTCCATCTTTCTTCCTGCTCCCACTTGCCAGAGAAAAACATTTGAGAATTCAAGTGTATAGGGACAGGGAGTCTCAAAAATAAATAAATAAATAAATAAAGGCAGTGTGCCTTACAATTAATAATTACAAAGATAATAGATGGCCTCCTGAGCGTATAATCCAAGATTATGGTCCTGCCACCTGGGCAGAGGATGGGTATGGGGGCTACAGCTACTCCCATTTGCACGCTAAACCACATAATTCCACTGCTAGCAGTTGTAAAAATTATAACCAATGAAATTGCCAGAGCTCTTAACTTACCAGCCAAGCAGCAAACCAAAATGTGCGATGCCATCTGTCCCCACTGCTTGGCCTTAGATCGCGTGCTTGCTTCTGAGAGAGGTGTCTGTGGAAATGTTAACCTGCGCAACTGCTGCCTAAAGATAGAGGATGAGGAAAAGGTCCTAGAGGAGATCACAGAGCCAATGAGAAAGGCTGCTCACGTCCCAGTCCAGACCTGGACTGGCTGGAACCCCAGAGAGTTATTTGGAGGATGGTTTTCAACTCTTGGGGGATTCAAAAGCCTCATAGGAATTATTCTCCTAATTTTAGGAGGATACTTAATCTTACCCTGCTTAGCTTCCCTGGTTGGACGGTCTGCCTCCAATCTCATTGAGGCCAAAAACTAAAAAAAAAAAAAAAAAAGAAGAAGAAGAAGAGACATCCACTCATGTAATGAAGATAAAAAATATAAATCTCTAAACCAACTCTTTGACCCTAAATAGAGGGGTCCAAGCATCAAAGGAGGAATGTGGTAGAGTCCCCTCCTTAAGGAAACAAACAAAAAAGAACATCTCAAGGCAACTTTGCTATCCGCCTATGTGATGACATCCCTCCTGACCTTGTAACATGAGACCATGTTAATCAGACTGCATGTTTGTGTGTTACCATATATGGGAGACAAAAAAGTAAAAAATATATTTTAAAAAAATCGCGCCACGTGGTGTTCGGGGCTCAGTTCTTTGGTGCGAACCCAACTGAGTGACGCCGGCTGGAGTAAAGTGGCTTCTTGGAGAGGAAAGCCTCGGCGTCACGACTCTGTGCGAGACTCCTGCTACCAGCCCATCTCCTAATACCAGCAAGCTGGGGATGAGAAGTTTCAACGTAAGAATTCTGGGAAGATGCAGACATTCAGCCAATAAGAGCATGCTTCTGGAGATCTTGTATCTGTTGCTTATTTTTAAAGAACCATGGAAAGTTCACACTGGAGTAAGGGGTGGGGGCCCCGCTGTGGCGTCCAGGAAACACTCCACGTGTCCACAGAGCCAGAGGCTTGAGCTGCAACTAATCCGAATCTGAGCACAATGCCTTATGGCCCCCCTCGAACACAAGATGAGAGGCTTGTGAGGGCATCTCCCACTCACCTTATTCCCCTCCCCCCCAGGGAGTTTCGCCAGAGAGCTTCCTGTTGCTTCTCAGGTTCCCATAAGGTGTGGGCTTTGTGCCCAAACACAAAAACACTTGGCTGCAGTCAAGATGTGGCTTTGTTGTAGAAAGATATATGGACTTTGTTTCTGGTTCCTGGCACAGAGTCCTAAAACCTTCAGAATTTCCTAAGCGACAAACATCTTTTGTTCTAAGGAGGGCTCTATGTAGCTTCAGGATGGGGGCCGGTTGTCAGAAAGACCATGTGACTAGAAGCTTAGAACCTTCAGCACCACCCCTGACTCTCGGGAGGAGGGAAGGGGCTGGAGATTGAGTTAATCACCAAAGGCCAATCATTTAATCAATCATACCTCTGTAATGGAACCTCCCCTCAACGAAGGAGAAAGATTTTTTTTTAATTTTTAATGTTTATTTATTATTGAGAGAGAGACAGAGCATGAGGGTCGGAGGGGCAGAGAGAGAGAGGAAGACACAGCATTGGAAGCAGGCTCCAGGCTCTGAGCGGTCAGCACAGAGTCCGACGTGTGGCTCGAACTCATAAACTGTGAGATCATGACCTGAGCTGAAGTCAGACACTTAACCAACTGAACCACCCAGGCGGCCCAGGAAAAAACCCTTTCTAAGTCATAAAAATTATTTAAGAAATCTGATTGGGGCGCCTGGGTGGCTTAGTCAGTTAAGCGTCCGACTTTCGCTTAGGTCATGATCTCGCGGTTCGTGGGTTCGAGCCCCGCGTCGGGCTCTGTGCTGACTGCCACTCAGAGCCTGGAGCCTGTTTCAGTCTGTGACTCCCTCTCTCTGAGTTAAAAATTTTTTATGCTATATTTATTTCTGAAAGAGAGACAGCGTGAGCAGGGGAGGATCAGAGAGAGAGGGAGATACAGAATCTGAAACAGGCTCCAGGCTCTGAGCTGTCAGTACAGAGCCCGACGCGGGGCTTGAACCCACGAACCGTGAGATCATGACCTGAGCTGAAGTCAACCACCTAACCAACTAAGCCACCCATACACCCCATAAAGTGTTGAGTTGAAAGCTTTGCCAAGAGTATCAATCTTGTTTTCTGATGCAACTAGGAGAATTATACAAATATTCATTCATGACTTTTGCTAAATTGTTCTCTACTCTGTCGAAATAAATCTACACACCGAGTGTTATTTGAACTAAAGGGTCTTTTAAGAATCTCCAGGTTTTAAAAATCACTGCCACATCTTTTGAAAATTACCTTCAAGGAAATGCCTGTAATTATAATTGGTTTCTCTCCTTGGTAATTCATTGCCTTGCTGATTTTTCTTTCTTTTTTAAAAAAATTATTTATTTTTGACAGACAGAGAGAGACAGATCATGAGCAGGGGAGGGGGAGAAAGAGAGGGAGGCACAGAATCTGAAGCAGGTTCCAGGCTCTGAGCCATCAGCACAGGGCCCGACATGGGGCTCGAACCCACGAACCATGAGATCATGACCTGAGCCGAAGTTGGACGCTTAACCGACTGAGCCACCCAGAGCGCCCCCCCCGCCCCGAGTTCTTCTTAAGAGCCCCTTCCCACCAAAGATCTAATGACTAGAAGATTTCACAAGAGATTTCACTGAAGAAGTAGTTCATATCATGTCTCCACAGCAAACGACTTTCAAACCCACCACAGAACTTTCTCTTCTTCAATTCCTTGTCTGCCAAGCTGCCTGCCACTGAGGGTTCTTTTCTCTTACCTTCTCTCTATAGGGCCTATTGTCTTGTTCTCCCAGATCCTCACCCATCCCTGAGGCCTGTGACTTCTCACCTGTTGCCCTCAGCTCTGGCTCTAACCCTGCCCTTGGGTCCCTGGGAAATTACTCAGAAGTTCTGCTTACATCACTTCCACTTACATCCTATGACCAGAAGGATGGACGGTTTCCCCGACAAAGAAAAATGTTAAGTCTTGTTCTGGATTGCTGAGGGCCCAGCTATATCCCATCACTTTGCAGAAGGGGACAAAGGTTAGCAATTTCTCCCATGCTTTGCATATTCCTGAGTGTGCCTTAGAAGTGGGTGACTGACTGCGATGTTGTGCATCAAGCCTGTGAGAAGTGGCTTGAGAGTGTGTTGCAATAGTCATTTCCTGATAGAAACCAAAAGGCACAAAGTGTGCATATGTAGAGCAGAGGACTGAAAAACTGGGAGCAAAGCAGTTCCTGCTTGTCCTGGAGTCAAGAGAACGTTCTGGATCAACACCAACAGCACAACTGAAGGAAGATCCTGGGAAGAGGCTTGGAAGAGGCTTGGAAGAGGCCATGATGCCCCAACTCCTGACCCTGCTTTGCACTGGTAAGTGCTGTGGGAGTGGGGCTGGGCTGTGGCAGCAGCTGGAGCTGGTGGGAACTTCGGGGCTGGTAGTAGGTGGGGGTGAATAAGCACAGACTAGAACCTTCCACATCCTGAATACACGTTAGTTAGAAGGATGCTTTACACGCATTTTCCTGTTTCCCCAAACTCAGTCATCCCTGAACTTCCCAAAGATATTTTTCCCTATATCTGTTACATGTCCCGGATTTTTATATTATTATTTTTATACTCAATTCTATTTTATCATTTAAAAAAATGTTTATTTTTGAGAGAGAGAGAGAGAGAGAAAGTGTGTGTGTGTGGGGGGGGGGACACAGAATCCAAGCTGTCAGCACAGAGCGCAGTGCAGGGCTCAAACCCAGGAACGGTGAGGTTATGACCTGAAGTTGGACGCTTAACCAACTGAGCCACCCAGGAAACCCTATTTTATTATTAAAAAAAAATTAAAGTTTATTTATATTTGAGAAAGAGAGACAGAGCAAGTAGGGGAGGGTCAGAGAGAGAAAGACAGAGAGAGACAGAGAATCCCAAGCAGGCTCTGCACTGTCAGCTCACAGTCTGGCGTGGGGCTCAAACTCATGAACCGTGAGATCATGACCTGCGCCTGAACCAAGGGTCAGATGCTTAACCGGCTGAGCTGCCCAGGCTCAACTATACTCAACTCCATTTTAAAATAATATCTGTAAGACCCATGTATTAGTGGGAAAAATCAGTGTCCCTCATCAAAAACAGACCCAGACTGCCCCAGTTTTCCCCAGTCTTGCTTCCGAGAGGTAGCAGTGAAGCAAAAAGCTGCCTCCAGATGAGCCCCAGGCTGTGGTATCTCCCATGGGCTCAGGGGAGAGCAAGCCGGGAACCGAGAAGAGAGAAACTTTGTCACCCGGGCTCAGTGATACTCTCCTGTTATTGTACGACCTGGAGCCACCTTACATCTCTTAGAAAAATTCTCCAAAATAGTTCTTTTCCCCATACTGCATTCGAGGAATCTGAAAATCACGCCTGAAGTTCGTGCCAAGGCCACTCAACTAAATGGAAAAACTGAGCTCAAATTCTGGTCTGCATACTTCCAAAGACTGTAATTCTCCATTCTCCATGGAGCCATACGGGGTAATTGAAAAGGGCTGACATGGAGGAGGTAAGTTGGGGTGGAAATGTCCGCGGGGCTCGAGCCCACGAACCGTGAGATCATGACGTGAGCCATAGTCGGAAGCTTACCCAACTGAGCCACCCAGGCGCCCCTCTGGAGGCTGAATAAAGGGAGTCATGGTTAGCAAGATCACAAGAAGGTAAGTGAACCGTGAATCCCTCTTAGGAAATGTCCGGCAACCTTTTCAGAAGGGCTCTTGGTCACAGGTTCTTTGTCACTTCCACTCAACCCCTGTCGGAATGAGTCTCACTTCACGACAAGGCAAGGGTTGGTTAGGATGTGGCGGAAAGGGAACCCATGTGCGCTATTGGTGGGAACACAAACTGGCGCAGCCACTGCAGGGAAATAGTTTGGAGGCTAGTTCTTCAGAAAGCTAAAAATAGAACTACACTACAATGATCCATCCCACTTTGGGGTTGTGTGTAAGCAGGAAATGAGAACAGGAAATCGAAGCGATATCGGCGCCCCTGTGCTCATCGTGACATTATTCACAAGGCATAGAAATGACCCACGTGTCCATGACAAAAGAAGATGTAGCGTGTTATATGTAAGGGGATGCTATTCAGCTGTGAGAAGGAAAAAAACTGGTCCCACCATTTGCTACAACGTGGATGGACCTTGAGGGTGTTCCACTGAGTGAAACAAGTCAGACAGAGAAAGGCAAATACTTGCACGATCTCACTTATGTGTGGCATGCAAAGATGTTGAACTTGTAGAATCACACAGTGGGATGGACTTGCCAGGAGCTGGGGGTGGTGGGAAGAGGGAGATGTTGATCCAGTGGTACATGCTTGCAGTTCAAAGATGAGTGAGTTCTGAGGCTCTAATGTACAGCATTGCACCTACAGACGGCAATATGGTATTATGTATTTGAGGGTTGCTAAAACAAAAGTTTCAAGATTGTGCCCAATGTCCCTGGTGTGTGTGGGGGGGTGTGTGGCAAAGCTGCCCCCAGTAGAGAACTACTGTTATACACTATTCAAACTAGAACACCTATATTGATGTGTAGGAACATATTTCTTGGGGTCAGTTTGGTCTAGATCTGAAAGTAAGGCCCCCAGAGGGGAAAGATGGGGGGTATACACTTCACTCTTCCAAGTAATACCGAGCTTAGATTTATGAGATTTAGGAGCACCAAAGAGATGGCTCATGGCTAACCGTAATGTCCCAAATACATTTAGGCCATTCCCTGAGGACAGACAGAAGTATCTCAGCACAAAGGACTATGTTCTCAGTATCTAGATGTCCCCTATCATAGGGTAGGGGCCTCACCAGCTTACTCCACATCCTGGCTTCTGGGAGCTGTGGGTACGTTCCTTTATATGGGAAATGCATACAGGGTGGCAGGTGGAATTACACTTGCTTATCAGCTGACTTTGAAGTAGGGAGCTTCTTCTGGATTATCTGGGTCGCCACAGTGGTAACCATGGGGTCCTTAAAATAACAAACCAGGCAGAAGAGGGTGTCAGTGCACCAAGCATTGCTAATTTTAAAGCCGGAGGAAGAGGCCGCCATGATGAGATGCAGGTGTCTCTTGAAGCTGGAAAAGGCCAGGAAATGGATTCTCATCTGGAGCCCCCAGAAGAAAAGGCCAGGAAGTGGATTCTCGTCTGGAGCTCCCAGAAGGAATGCAACCCCAAGGCGACCCTGGTTTTAGCCAGAGAGACTTTTCTAACCCATAGAACTACAAGATAATAAATCTGTGTTGTCACAAGCCACTATGTTTCTGATACTTTGTTATGGCAGCCGTAGGAAATTGTCGGAGGCCGGCTCCAGCAGGTCCAGGGGTCCCTGAAGGATGGACGGTGTCGGTGAGGGAGGGAGTGGGAGAGCCCTGAGATCCTTTCTGGTCACCAGGCAGGCATCTCCGTCCTGTCGGTTTTGGAGTCTTTATTTATAGGTCAAATGTTAACGTGGCATCAGAAAATGGAATGTTTACAATGGATAGCTCTCTGTGATGTTTTTGGAAAATGTACAGAAACAGGTTTTACAGAAGTCTTCTTGCAGAACTGCCCCAATTATAGTGAGGTTGAGTAATAACAGGGTGTTCACATTTTAATAACGCTAAGATTAAGTCATAGGTTTGTAGATACTCTTATCCATCCTTATCACAGCTGCCAGGGGAAGGGAAAGTATTTGTGGAAAGTAGGCCTTAGGGAAGGGGCTGCTATACATCACCAGTTAGCAAAGGTGTATGTACTAACTTATGTTCTACCCTTATCTGTTCCTTCTCTCTAAGTTAGGCTCTTTGTCTCCGGGCAAGACTTGATTTTCCAGTTATATTCTTTATTGCGCCGGAGAGCCAACCATACCTTTAAAGAGTTTAGCTCATTTCCAATACATAGAATAGCCTCTTCAAGTGCATTTACCTTTGTGTCTAGTTTTATGATTTCTTGAATAGCTAGGGCATGAGAGACATTTTTGGTTAGTTGATTTACATGTTGAGCTGTATGAACATCCTGGACTAACACAATGGTAGAAACAGCGTTGTACATGTAAAGGTCAATCTTTTATGAGTGAGGGTCATTAGCCTGTTCATAGCTCAAAGGAAAGTATGGAGGGAAACAGGACCTTCTGGAGACACGATGTCTGTTCTCATAATCGAAACAAGAAGTTCCCACAATAAGTTCCTTCACAAGGTGCAATCATCATACCAGGGCCGGAATAAGGGGACAAGTCACTCCCGATATTGATCAACAAGGCACCTTAGGGGTCAGTGCTCAGGCAGAAATAATTGAGTGGGGGTGGATATCAGTCGTCATCTGATTGGCAAGAGACCGTGCAAACTTGCTTTAACCTCACCAGGAGTTTTCTCGACTAATGGGCTCAGAATGGCTCCCAACAGGAAATTAACACAATGTGCAAATCAATGCCCATGCCAGATGGGTTCTTGGGCAGGAGGCTAGGACTGGCCATGAGCATGACCTCCGGTGTCCCGTCTCAGTGGCAGCCCCATGGGGACAGGGACTCAGGTCTCAGGACAGACGGTTCTCTTGCAGGGCTGTGCGCTGCCCAAGGAAGCAGGGAGACTAAAGGTGAGCATTCCTCCAGTTAAACCCACCCTCTTCTTTGCTCCAAATTCTCCACATCCCTTCTCTTTCCTTAAAGGGGTTTTCTCAGAGTGGGTGAGGGCACCAATTCCTTTCCCCGATCTGCTTCCTTCCAGATCCCCTTCCCAAGCCCTCCCTCAGGGCCTGGCCCAGCTCGGTGGTGCCTCATGGGAGCAACATAACGCTGCAATGTCGGGCCCCAACCAAGGATGTTGACTTTGCTCTCAGGAAGGGAGATATTTTTTTGGATTCTTCACCATCACTGGCTTCCACAGAGGGCCTGGCTGAATTTCACCTCACTGACCTGAGAAACAGTCAGGCTGGAGTCTATACCTGTGAGCTCTACAGACTCAAGTTGCCCTATATGAGATCACTGCCCAGTAACCTTGTCCTGCTACTGGTGACAGGTGAGGAGAAGGGACGGGCCTGGGGGAGGGACCCGAGGAGGGCGGGGGATGGAGGAGATGCAGAAGCACAGCAACAGAATGACTTGGCCGCTGCATCCAGGGCTTGTGGGGACGGGACCTCCTTCCCGCAGTCAGAGTTGAAAGAGGGTGACACCAGGGACCTGTCGCGTCCCACACTGGGCAGGAACCCCAGCGGGAGAACAAGGTTGAGTGGGGGACCCTGGGCTTCTCCCCGTGACCTCGGAGCCCCTTCTCTTGCAGGATATTGGCCTAAACCTTCCCTGCAAGCCCAGCAAAGGGGTGTGGTGACCGCAGGAGACAACGTGACCCTGCAGTGCCAGAGGCCTGATGATGTTTTCAGGCCAATAATGTTCGCTCTGCTGAAGGCGGGAGCGACAGGGCCCATCCAGCTCCGGACTCCAGTCGGGAACGAGACGGACTTCTCCTTGCAGACTGTGACAGCTGAAGACTCCGGGAACTACAGCTGTGTGTACTTCCAGATCCAGGCTCCTTTCTGGACCTCACTGCCTAGTGAGCCTCTTGAGATCCGGGTGAGAGGTGAGGTTTTTATGGTCGGGTGGACCGCAGCTGGATTACCTGCCTGCTCACGTGCTGGCATGGTCTGTCTCCACAAGACCCTGCAGCTTAGAGCATCCGTGTAGGAAGAAGGGTGGGAGGGCCTGGATTCTGTGGAGTAATGCAGAGGATCTTCTGCAGAGACAGAGAGCACAGATGGTGGAGATCACATAAATGGAGGCTGGGAGGGGGGCCTTCCCACTGCAGGTGTGGGACACAACCGGCTGTGTTGTGAGGGGGCCAGGCCTGGAGGAGGAGGGATCTGTAATAACTAACCCCTCCCCTCCGGCCAGGAAAATAAGATGTAGCCACAAAGTCATTGCCTGTCTCCTGGGCAGGGCACAATTCATTTAGACTAAAGTGTGGATGCTACCTCCTGGGGTTGTACATGAGGAGAGTCTGGCAAGAAGGCAGAGGAGGAGGGAGAGAATAACAAAGGGCCCAGGAGCATCTTTCTGAGAAAGACTCAGAGACTCCAGGAAGACCTTGGCTTCATTTTCACTGGGATTCTAGCACTCTTGCCTTTAGCTCAAGTGAGCTGAGCTTTTCTCTTCCTGCCAAGACTTTTCTTTCTTTTTTGAAAGGAATGATTTTTAAAAATTATGGCAAAAGTGCATAAGGTACAATTTACCATCTTAAGTATTTAAAAAAAATTTTAATGTTTAATTTTGAGAGAGAGAGAGATGGAGGGGCAGAGAGAAAAAGAGGGAGACACAGAATCTGAAGCAGGCTCCCAGACTCCAAGTTGTCAGCACAGAGTGGACACGGTGCTTGAACCCACAGACTGTGAGATCATGACCTGAGCCAAAGTCAGACACTTAACAGACTGAACCACCCAGACGCCCCATAAGTATTTTTTTTTAAGTGCACAGCATTAAGTGCATTGACTTCTGGCACACCCACTATCTGTTTCCAGAATGCTCTTCACCTTGCAACACTGAAACTCTGTCCCCATTCAACAGCCTCTCCTCACCTGTTCTCCCCAGTCCCTGGTGTCCACCATCCTACACATTGTCTCAGTGAATCTGACGAATGCAGTGACCTCACACCATCGGAATCATACAGTATTTGTCTTATGACTGGCTTATGTCACTCAGAACAATGTTCTCAAGGTTCAGCCATACTGTAGCACATGACTGGGCTTCCTTCCTTAAGGCTGATAATGTTCCATTTTACGGGTAGAGCACATTTTGTTTGTCTATTCATCAGACAATGGACGTTTGGGTCATTTTCAGCTATTTGGCCATTGGCCCATCACCTACTGGCCACCTACCGGCCCTCACTTCTTGAGGATGTATACTCAGAAAGGGGATTGCCGGATCATAGGACAGTTCTACTTTTAATATTTTGAGGACTCACCACCATACTGTTCCCCCGAGTGGCCACACCATTCTACATTCCCACGTCCAGTGCACAAGGGTTTCTGTTGCTTTGTTTCTGATGGATGTTTTTTTTGGCCCTTGTGCGTTAGGGCTATTTTTGAGGACTGAGTTTGTCCAGGACGAGGGGAGGGAGAGAGGCCAGTAGGAAGCAGGCATCTTCCTGGATGGGGGAGGGGCGCTGAATCCCCTAGAATTGATGTGGGGCCAGTCATAACTGCACAGGGCACTAACCAATGAACCCAGGATCTCCCAAGCCACACACGGGGGAGGCATTCAGGGCCCCTCACACGGGGCACGAGAACAGGTTCTGAAGTCGGTGGACCTGAGCTAAAGCTATAGCCGTGGCATGTGCTTTCTGGGAGTATTCTGTAACTCATTTCTCTCATCTGTCAAGTGGGTGGGCAGCGAAGCATACATCTGACCATGAACTTCTGTGAGAAGGAGACATAACAGTAATCAATTATAATAATCAACAGTTTTGATTATTGTAATCAAGGCACTTGGTTACAAGTGGAAAAAAAAACCCAACCATCTTGAAGTGACCTGGAAAAAATGAGGTCTTTGGAATTAAAGGGGCCATTCAAGGCTCCCTAACCTGGCACTAGTAACATTTCGAGCTGGATAATTCTTTGGGGTGGGAGGTGGGGGAGAAAAGTGGGTCCTGTGTAACATAGGATGTTTGCAGCATCTCGGATCTTTACTCCACTTCATGTCCCCTTGTCCAGCTGTGATGACCACGGCATCTCCAGACACTGCCAGATGTCCTGTGGGCAGACACGGCTGGGACCCAGAGGCAGTCAGTCATGGGAAGCACAGGGATGCCCTCTGGCTTCACAAACTAGAATGAGGAACTGGAGTCCTGCCCAGATTCTCTTCCTTTCTGACATTTGTGTCTTTATTGTACCTGTTTCATTCTCTTTTAAACTTTTAAAAATGTTTTTTTTTTTTGAGAGAGAGAGTGTGAGCAGGGGAGGGGCAGAGAGAGAGAGAGAGAGAGAGAGAGAGAGACAGAATCTGAAGCAGCTCCAGGCTCCGACCTGTCAGCACAGAGCCTGACGGGGGGCTCGAACTCAAACTGTGACATCATGACCTGAGCCGAAGTCAGACGCTCAACCGACAGAGCCACCCAGGCGCCCGTTTCATTCTCTTTTAGTGGGGACCAGCTCCCTCTTTGGGGCAGAAAGCTTGGCTTTTAAGAGCTGAGTTTTGTAGCTCATAAATTCTACTCCTGGAGAACTATCCAGCCCTTCTTCCCAGACCCAGTTCAAAATAGACAGACAGACAAAGAGACTGGGGAGGGCAGTGAATTGTCCTGCTTAGCTCAGCCTCTAGATCAATCCTAGGAAATGCCCATGGGAGGTGCCATGCAAGAAAACCCAGCTCCATCGAGGGCGACTGGGATGTAGGAGGGGAAGGAGCAGTTCCTCAAGCAAGGAGAGCTGCTACCCTCTGATCCCACCGCCCCCACCCCAATTTCAAGTTGAAATCCTCACACTGAATGGGACAGCATTAGGAGGTGGGGGCCTCTGGGAGGTGCTTAGGTCCTAAGGGTGGAGTCCTCATGAGATCAGTGCCCTTATGAAAGAGACCCCAGAAGCTCCCCTGTCCCCTTCTGAAACGTGAGGCTCTAGAAGTCTGCCGCCCAGAAGAGGGCGCTCCCGAGACCAACTGCCACCCTGGTCTCAGACTTCCGGTCTCCAGACTTGTGAGAAAGGGGTGCCTGCTGTTCATCAGCGCTCAGCCTGTGGCATTCTGTTAGAGCCTCAAATGGACAAAGACAGCCGAGGCAGGGGGGACTGCCCAGCAAGCGTGTTTGCTGCAGAATCCCAGACCCCTGGACAGAGCAACAAAATAAATCCCAAGGTCCAGACGCTCTCTGGAGAATTGGCAACAAGGGGTAAAGGGGAGTGCTTCCCCACCCCCACCCCCCCTTGCCCGCAGCCCAGAGCCTGGGAGTGAGGCAGAGAAGCTTGCATCTATGAACCACCTGCACCATGCTGTTTTCAAGGTCAATGTGAAGGACATTCAATGTCCCCTCTAGGAGCAGTAAGAAAATTGCGGGGAGAGGGGAGAACACACAACCATAACCGTCTGAACAGGGATGGGCACCCGTCACTTGGGTACCTGGCCCCACCGTCTGCAAGTGTGTACGGGCTCTTGCTCTGCAGGTAACTGTAAGTGTTTAGAATCTGGCTGGACCCACAACAAGCCATCTTCTACAGATTCCTTAGCTACCCTCTGTCTCAGCCTCCGTATCTGCTAGGGGTTGATACAAGAACCTACACAAGGGACTTGTGGTCGAGATTCTGAGGAGTTATTTTACTAACCCCCTCCTGAACTGTGTCCAGTGGGCAGCAAAATACTATCTAAGGATTTGCCATTATGCTCATTACAAAACACCCAAAACTTCTCCCTCTGATTACTGAAGCAGCTTTATCAAGAACTCGTTCCTCAGGGGAGAACTTCCAGGAAACAGAGAGCATGTGTATCCCTCAAAAGGTACCAGTAAATGTCCTTATCATTATAATGAATTATAAATATTGGCAGAATATTCCATGACCTCTTAAGGGCTTCCAGGTTCTAAAAAGGCCAAGGTGCATGTCTGTGTCTTAAAAAAATTTTTTTTGGGGCGCCTGGGTGGCTTAGTCGGTTAAGCGTCCGACTTTCGCTTAGGTCATGATCTCGCGGATCGTGGGTTCGAGCCCCATGTCGGGCTCTGTGCTGACTGCCAGCTGAGAGCCTGGAGGCTGCTTCAGTCTGTGACTCCCTCTCTCTCTGACCCTCCCCTGCTCACGCTGTCTCTCTCTCTCTCTCTCCTAGAAATAAATAAAACATTAAAAAATTAAAAAAATTTTTTTTAATATTTATTCATTTTTGAGAGAGAGAGAGAGAAAGGGAGACACAGAATCCAAAGCAGGCTCCAGGCTCTGAGCTGTCAGCACAGAGCCCGATGGCAGGGCGCAAACCCATGAACCGTGAGATCATGACCTGAGCTGAAGTCGGAGGCTTAACCGACTGAGCCACCCAGGCGCCCCTGCGTGTCTGTGCCTTTAACTCAGTTCAACTGTATGTGACAAGGTTAAGCGCTGAGGAGATGGTCTTTCCAAAACATGATGATAAAACAGACAGAAGGGAAAGAAAAATACCACAAACTAGATTGGCTCTCTGTAGGAGGGGGACACTTTACATAATTTTGGGTTCTTCCACAGCTGCTGAATTATTTTTTTTCCTACCTATTTACCCTTGGCACATGAGGATGCTTCTGAGTTTGCTACTCCATAGTCACAAATACTGCTGCTTCCGACATGACTACATCAGTGACGGAACAGTTCACCAGGAAGGACTCAGGAAGCTGTTAAGTTCGATGTCGACCTTTCCTGTCTCCCTTCAGCCATTGTTCTCACCTTGGCAACTGTCACCAAGGGCAACAGGCTGAGGAAAAGAGGGAGTCACGGGGGAGGCGGGAGGGGTGTTTTGCAGGCAGACGACTGGGTACAGGTGCATTGACAGATTATTGAAGATGGAGCCCAAGGGTTTCCCTTCGGGATTCGCCAGAGCCTTTTATAAACCCCTGTAGTTTTCTGGGGATCGTATAGGGGC